GCATTCGTCTGTATTCATTGTCACATTTTTTTCATAAGTTTAATTAATGTACTATTTAACAGCAAATATGTTCTTTATTGTCAGATTGTGTGGGATGAACAGAAACAGAAATGGGTCGATTTGAACGAGCCTGAAGAGGAGGTCTGTAATGTTACACAGAATTATACTTTTTTAGGCAGACTGAATTTTCTTGTCTAAACTGATTAACTTAAAGCTTTATAGATCAACCAGTTCTGATGTTATGGTTTCCTTATAATCTGTCAGAGTAAACCCCCTCCACCACCTCCCTCTGGCTTCCCCATGATGCCCGGCCCTGGAGGGCCTGCGGCACCCCCGACTAGTGGTCCTCCTGTCAACATGTTCTCCAGGAAAGCAGGTGAGATGAGGGTTATATGCTGTGACTTCACAAACTTACACATACACACACTTTTGACAGTTGAATTACAAGTTGTGGAAAAAGTAATCATGGAGACAACAAATTAGTCAGCGTTCACACCTGTTTGCTCCGTTTCTTGCCACTCAGATGTGTTTTGTTTCCTCTCAGGCACGAGGAGCAGATATGTGGATGTTCTGAACCCCAGCAGAACTGCTAAACCAGGCGGATTAGCCCCTGCTCCTGCAGACATCTTTGCTCCTTTGGCACCAATGCCCATGCCCACAAACCTATTTGTGCCTAGTTCAGGTAGTTGTCTGGTCATTTAAATTATTATTGTAAAATGAGATGGCTTAATTTATATGTGTAACACTATAGTCACAAGCAAGGTACCCTTGAGGGTTGCACATGGTTTTGGAGCCACTGTACAATTAAGGCTTGAAGTAATAAAGTATTTTATTTTTATTTCTGGTGTAGCTCCTGATGATCAACAACCTCTAGAGGGCAGTGAAGGAGGAAATCTGGAGCAGAATTCACCAAACACCAGCGCTGGTCCACAGGTATCTATTTCTCTTTATCGGTGAAAACTAGTGAGTTTATGTTTAAGAAAACCTTTTCACAATGTTGGTCTAATACTGAAAATACATTGTGGATTTAAATACTAACTACAGCATTTTGACCTCATTTTCATCGTCCTTCTCAAATTATGTAATTACTGTTGTTGAAATGTGAAACCTAAGGTCACTACAGTATCCTGTTTCCTTGGGAATGGATTTCCTCACACCTAATTTAGTAAAGTGTGGTCAAATAAAACCTAACTAACCCGTTGCCTGATAGTTTGTGTGAGATGATCTCATCTCTGTATTGTAAATATGTAGCTGGAGCCAGCTAACTTAGAGCCTTCCTTTCTGTTCCACTTACCATCTATTTAGATGTTCAGCCCAACATTGTTACCACCTGCCCCAGAGGGTCCTCCTGTGCCTGATGGCTCACAGTCTGGAGAGGTAAGACAAACTTGTCAGCAGCTACTGTAGCCATCATAGTACCATCACGCCACCACTGAACCATGATGCTCGACACCCTAACAGCCAGTGCGTGCAGTTTTCTTATTTGTATGAATGAAAGTTATCGTGAGAGAGTGTATGAAAGAACACGGGAATGCATGCATGTTAACTTAAAATCTTTGCCCATAATCATGCTAAATGCGCAGCCTCAATAAAATGTAAAATCTCGGTTCCATTTGCGGTTTGAATCAAATTCTCTCCATGTCTGTTTTTTTTCAAGAATCATAATTTTCTAACACTGATTTATTTTCATTCTGAACTGGTGGATAGTGGAAACAGATCTAATCCATTGCATGGGAGATTATTAATATGGGTTTGTGGTTTGTGTTTTTGTTGTCTACTGTTTCTTTCCCTCCTGCTGTCTTTAGCTCTCACGTTCTAGCTCAATGAGTTCTTTATCACGCGAAGTGAGTCAGCATTTAAACCAGGTACCTCTAGCTGGGCCTCAAACGGTCCACTCTCACCCCTGCCTGCCACCCTTCTAGCTCACCACATCACTAGTAGCACGCTTCACCATCTGCACACGAAGCTTCACCACCCATCCAAACCCAAATATGTCTGCCTGCTCACCTGCCTGCTGTTTCCAGCATTACTAACTCACTCTGTATCTGCAACCAAACCTGGCTAATGGTCAACAAAACTAGTCAAAGAATGTAGTTCCTTATTTATAGCCACGCTAGCAGTTTGACTCTTTCACTTTCCATCTAGCGCCATCATCCAGACAAACTCAAAATTTGCTTGATATTTTAGTTTATGACCAAATACAACCTCAGCTGTACTTTGTGTTTAGTAGCGCCACTGTGCCTAAGTAGCCTCACAGAGCTGCTAGCGTGGCTGTAGACTCTTGTTTATCCTACAGTAGTGAACTATCGACTTCACTTGAAAGTTGCTGGGTAACTGTGAGCCATGGATTCAGAGTGAGGCACGCTGGAGACAGTTGCAGGGACGACTCCCTTGCTTGTTGTCATGGGAACACACAGCTTCAATAACCCGTCATAAAGCTTGCGTTGTTACTAAAATGAGTGAAACAGTGGTTTGTAATGCTGCCTCACTGTGGATCCGAGTGCTCCTTGCCATTACCTTTCCACTTTTGTTTTGCTTCTGTTTTATAATGAAACACATTGGACGTGCATTTACCGCTCCTCTGCCCATAGAAGTAATGGGACAGTAACTCTGCACACACTGTAGTAACTCTGTCTGTCCTTTGCAGACTCATCCTGCCCAGGTAGCCGCACCTGCTGGAGGCGTCACCTTTTATAACCCTGCACAGTTTGCACAGGTGAGGTTTGATAAGTTTGAATAGTTTTGCAGTTGTAAACGGTTGTAAACTTTAATTTGTCTCCCTTTTCACTTCATTATGTCCTTCCTTGCTGTTGTTTTTATCCCCTTTTCCCAGACAAGTGCACCATCAGGAGGGGGACACCGCCCTGGTCGCTTGGGCGGTCAGCGCCAGTACCCAGTGTTGAAGTAAACCTCATGTTGCAGAGAGATTGTGTGAACAGACTTGTTGGAAAGAGTGATATACTACCTGGAAGTAAATGAAGCACATGGACATACTGCTCTCTGTCTAAAGGACCCTTGTTTTTTTGCCTGCACCTAAGAAGAGCATAATCACAGTCTCCATGTTGTCAGTCTTTGTCCAACAGCTTAACCACTTTTTTCATCTTTTTCTTTGGTTCATTAGATTTCACTGGTGTAGTTTTAACAGGCACGGTGTTTTCTTGAAGGGCTTTATCCTGCATCCAAACAGAAAATGGGTTTTAACACACGTAAAAGGTTTATCTACAGATGCATTCATGTATGTTCATGCAGGCATAGTTTAGTGTACAATAAATAATGTTACTCCTCTAAGCTGTCCAGCTTCTCCTCACATATAACACTGTTAACGGAATGATCATCCCAGGTCCTCTTTTAGGTTTCCCTTCGTGTCTGTAGTCCAAATGTCCATGTTTGTTTGATTGATTGATTGATTGATTGATTGATTGATTGTGTGTGTGGTGGGTAGAAAGAAAATGGCACCTTTTTTTAATTTCCTATTGTGGACTTGTATGTGCATTTGCAGCTCTTCAGTGTTGTTCTGTCAACTGGAGGTAGCAATTTGTGTGAGAATGAATGGTGTCAATAGTGCATTGTCTGCTGTGTTGTGTGCTTTTCCTCAGTCACCCTCCAGAAAAGGAAGGAATGTTGGATGACACAGGAAAGAGACTCAGACTAGCCTCACAGCCTGAGAGGTGGAGAGAGTCGGCATTGTTAGGACACCACCTTTCAGATATTTATTTAAATGTCCTCCCCTGCCCATCTGCAACTCTTGACTTTAAAGATGTGTCAGGGTCTTTTCGTCCAAGTTAGGCTTCAGTTTCTCCTCTGAGTAATTTCACTGAAACGACGGGTGGTCTTCAGAACAGCAAGAATTGGGATTAAAACTGCATTTTAAATGTTGCTAAAAATGAATCTATCCAAATATTTGTATATCAGATTGATTGTATTTATGAGCTTTAGGCATAAAGGTGTGTGTGTGCGTGCGTGTGTGTGTGGAGAAACTAATTTTTCCTGATTAGCTTTTAAGAAATGCATTTATGATTCACCAGAGATGATGTGGATTCCTATTCTTATCATTTGTTTTGGCCGCTTCTGCAGACAAATAAAACTTTATCTAAATCGTGAAATGAGAGCTAATTGTACTCTACTCTAACACTTTCCCTGTCATTTTAGTTTACAAATATGATTTTTAATCCAATCATTTGTCCACCCAAATGTTTCTGACTCAATGATTTTGTAGGCACCAGATTATGATGAACAAAAAGTCCCCTTTTGTTTCAGAGAAGCAGTTGTTTTCCCCAATGTTTTAGAATTCCTCATGTAAAATTCTTGACATAAAAACAGTAAATACAAAAGGTGGAGAAGAAATGGTAATAAAGTTATTTTTTGCGCTCTGTAGCACTTTGAAAGAGATGTCTATTGGTTTCATTCATTACAGGTTTTGTGTTTTAAAATAAAGTGACTCATTAAATTAAGCAAGCATGTGTACTTGAGGAAAGTCCAGCTGTTAATTAAACTACTGTTAAATGTGCAGAGCCAGGCAAACCTTACACAGTGCCGGTGAGGAGATACATAGGCCAGAACACACACAGTGGAAGGCCAGTTAGGTTTGCATTTGATTTCTACCTAATATAAGTACAAATAAAATGTCACTGGGGTGACCAACTTAAGAGGTTTTTCTACGTTGCTAACAGTCAGTTAACTACTAGCCCCAGCTTGTGCCTCTCGTATATTAATGTTATATTCAAGTCACAGCGCTAAGCATTCTTTCCTCTAAATGATAAATACTCCGTGATGTTTGATCCAGTAAAAACATACTCTGACTCTGAATCAACTGATCATGAACCAAAGTATTGGACAAACTGAAATTTCAACCTGATGATGGCGCTAGATGACAAGTTAGGGGATCATCAAAGTTGGTGGGATTTATCCTCTGGTGTCCATGAATGTCTGGACATAATTTCATGTCCCTCCATCCCATTGTGCTAAAGTGCTGGACAGATAATGCCATCCATAGAGCCATATTGCTAATGTAGAGCTTCTTTAGTTTATGTATAATCTGCTGTATTTTTTGTTAGCAAAGATATTCCACCAATTTATACAGTTAAATCATTATGAGTACAGTACCAAAACAAGCAAATCATCATAGCAGGACATAGATAAGCACTTCTCTCATAGACTTACAGCCTGCTGTAAACAATTCCATCAAGAAACGATGAGTCTAATGTCTTGTTGTGGATGTTTGGCACAATGGCACTTATGTCCAGTCAATTTATCTGAGAAAGATAATCACGTACCAGCAAAGTGAGCATACCCGTATTAGAAAGGGACAATAACACCAATGTAATCTCAGCTAAGAATAAGCTTACTAGACTCTTCAATTATTTACAGTACGTCCAGTAAAACCTAAAACTGTCCACAGGTCACTCAAAAATCTGTATAAAACACAAATAGCTGGTTATGCAATAGGCAACTTGTATTATCACGATCTCCTAAAGTGGTGTCAGCTCTTCAAATTCATCAAAGTCATTAATTTATAACTGTGTTATTCTGTGTGTAAAATGTTGTCGTCCTCTTCTGTTCAAGTAGAGAGAGTTCAATTTTAAGTATCCAGTGCTGCTCGTGCTTTCTGAACAGCAACCTCCAGCATTGTGTGGTCACTGAGCAGCTGTTGGAGAGCAGCTGGGTCCATCTCCAGGAGCATACCTACACAAACAGATTAATCTTTATCCACACCTTACAAGGCCTATACAAAAACTTTATAAAACTTCCAAAGATACTACATCTATGGCTGATATCTACAGAGAATGCCACTACAGGCAGTGTATCAGGTCACCTGTAATATCATTAGCATGAAGTGGGTCCAGCTCCTCCACCAGCGAGAAGAGCTTCTCTCCCAGCCTCTCTGTGTCGTCGGCATCCGATGAGTCACTAATGTCCGTCTCCTCCATGCTCTGCCTGAAGAGACGCAGCAGGAACGTTATTTCAAACAAGTGATTTTACTGTAATTTATCAATGAATATTGGTTGGTTTTTAATATTTTATTGTGTAGATGTGAATTAGAAAATGGCCTGTAAAGTACAATAATGGTTGTGCTGGAAATGTACTGTATGAAGATGCACCTTGAGAAAGAAAAGGATATGGATGATAATGTATGAATATGCACTTCTATGCAAATATGGGTATATTCTACAAACACTAATAAGTCACATACTCTTTAAGTGTCTTCAGGGCAAAGTTCACCTGCTCTTCCAGCAGTTTTGGATCAGAGAGAAGGTTTAAAACGGCCTCTTTGTGCTGCTCCAGAAGCATTCCTGTTGAAGAACAGCAACTATATTTTAACACATCGCTCACTAGTTTCTCATAAATTCATTTGAATCAGAGCAGAATCACTTTTATTGGCCAGGTATGTGCACACATACAAGGAATTTGACTCCGGTTTTACGTTGCTCTCAATGTACATATGGAGAATAAGCATAAATAAACAGGACAACAAGCTCAACAACACAGACAAAGACTGCTATGTACAGATATACATACAGTTAAAAATATAAATAAATACAAAAACAACATTTGTAGACAGTAGCAAAGTGCAAAGGATGGATAATATATATAAACAAGCATATAGATGATAACAAGACTAAAAGTCCACAGCCATGCTGGCGGATCTGTGAGACTGTAGTTGGGCACTGCGATGCTTCAAGAATTAGAATTAATCCTGAGGCCAATATAAATGTGTGTACCAAATTTGATGGCCATAGTTGTTGAGCTAAGTGCCTTTCTTAAGCAGTTAGTTAAACAATAAACTGGAAAATCAAACTGAAGAAACCAATTCTCTATTATTTTTTTTGCCATTTACCAAATGATATGAGAAAACATAACATTGTTACAGAAATCACCTTGAACTTATTACACAGCTGTTACAGATTAACTGAACTTGTTCTAAAACATTACGTGCGTGCAAATAACTCATCAGCTGCTTCACGTATAAGCCGTATTTTGCTGCATAATATTCAGTATTTGCTGAGTCAAATAACGGGTTGCTCACCTGTGATTTTCTGCGAGTGGCCGGTGTTGTAAACATCCACCAACTCAAACAGCTGCTCACCCAGAGAGTCAGAGGACACCGACACGTCATCCTCGTCCTTACATGTCACCTGGCTGCCAAGAGGTGCAGTCACATGAGGATACACAATCTGAAAGGACCTGACATACACGCTGATGTTTCCTGGGCAGAACTACTGTTTCATGGCACAATACTCTAAGTTATATTACATAATCCCCCTCATGCACTGTCCCACCAGCCTTTTCATAATGCTGGAGGTCTGGCAACCCCCTGCCCCACTGCTCTACCTGGGCTCCTGTGCCAGCTGCAGGGCTCTGAGGGCTTTCTCCACGGCTGCGGTCAGCGTGGCCTCGTCCTGCAGCATCTGACTCAGGACAGCACCTGGAAGCTCCAGCAACATCCCTGGAGACCCGGACCGGGGATTAGGAACTTTGATGTTCTGAGAGTCACAGTTTATTTGAATTAAAAAAAAAAAAAAAACAGACAACATGCAATGCAGGATCTCCTCACCTGTGAGTTTCCCAGCATCCTCTTGGTGGTTGGGGTAAATCAGAGAGTACAGCTGTTCACCAAGTGTCTCCAGGTCTTCTTCCTCATCCATGTTTTGACCTCTCACATTAAGTGAGTGTCACATCACTGTAACTTTATAATGAGCAGTTTTAAAGAGGGTTTCGACCTCGGACAACTTTTTTGGTTTCACATCAACACTGAGACAACATCCACAGGGACCGTGCTTGTCCTCCAGCTGCACTCATGTCATAATCTAAAGTAGGACTCGGTGTTCAGGGTGACAACAGCTGGAAACTGCTCGGTGTTCAGGGTGACAACAGCTGGAAACTGGAGACTGATTTTTTTTTTTTGGACGGATGTCTGTAAACACGCGGCGCGCATTAATGACGTCGGGTTGTCACCGAGAGCCGTGAGGACGTGTTCCTCCGCTGAATTTGAGGATATCTAGTACCCCGTGAAATTGCATTAAAAATATAATATAGCGTCGTAATATTGTTTAAATCGCTATTGTATCGATAATAATAATTGATTGCATATGTTTTAAATGTATTAAAAAGTGGGTTCGGTCGTAAATACTTTGCTGTGGGTGCGGAAGGATCTCTGAGAGAGGGTCCGTAAAGCGGTTTCCGGTCTCTCCGGTCCTTTTCCTCCGCTAAAAGGTAACGTGGTCGCTTCGGCTGCTACTAGCCGCTCACTAAAGTATAATTATTGTGTCTCCCTACTTGTATTTAGTCGCATAAAGTAAGTTAGTATTGTAGTGTTGGTTGTTGTGTACATCCCAGGTGGCAGATATTGTCCCTGTTTAGTGTATTTAAATGGGAATATACGTTTATAAGCACGTCGCCGACTTCAGGCCTCGTCGTGCTGCTTCAGTCCCTTGTGCTGAGCCGTGGAGCTAACTTTAGCAAACTGTGCTTTAACGTGTGAATAAAAAAAACAGCTCTGTGTTTTCACGATATGAGCGCTCACGTTAAAAGAAGCTGTATTTTGTGTTGTAGCTGTTAAACATTGGCTCATAATCTTTAAATCGAGAGACTGGGTGAACACGTTGAGCCGAGAGGATGTTAGCTGTTGGATGAAGTGACTGTTTAAAGTCTCTTCCCTTTGGTCTTGTTATTTCACTAATGCTCCGTCCTGCTGTGTCCAGGTTCATCATGTCGTCCCATTTGCAGTGGATGGTCATCAGGAACTGCTCCAGCTTCCTCATCAAGAGGAACGGACAGACCTACAGCACCGTGAGTACCCCACCTGTCCTCTGCCCCCCCCCCGACTGAAACACCTGGGTCTCTACATGACCCATGAAATCTAACAGTTTGAGGAAACTGTATGAATGTTAAAAGCCATTGACTGTGTGACGTTGATGAGGTTTACGTCAGTGGTTTAAGACTAATGATGGACTACTTATTAAGAGATCAACGTAGATTTGTTGTGGGGAACATCTACGTTATGTGTCATTGAGATGTGGCAACGCATTCCTGGTGTTAAGCCCCTAAAAAGAAAACATGAAGACATCAAGAAAAGTAATCGAGGTCAGCATTTTAGTGAGATGTGGCGTCTGAATGACGCAGGAGCCCCAAGATCGTGGCTAAAGTATGAAGGTCAAAACCCATGATTCAGTTTTATGGCTACTTAAGATAAACCTGCTGTTGGCAAATAAGCCAAAAAGTTAATTTTGGATCCTGCAGTCAGTACACTCTAGCAAACAGGATATGATCAGACTGATCTTGACAGGGAAATTAATGCCCAACGGTCTGAAAACGCAATCTGTCAGGTGGGTTATCTAATTTAAATCTGTTTTTTTTTTTTTTTTTACAGGAGCCCAACAACCTGAAGTCCAGGAACTCTTTCCGCTTCAATGGTTTGGTGCACAAGAAGACTGTAGGTGTGCAGCCAGCAGCTGATGGCAAGGGAGTTGTCGTCGTGCTGAAGAAGCGTGCAGGTAAATATCAGACGCCGCTTCGATCCTCAGGCGCTTCTGTGACGGTTGAATAAGTCATGTGTTGCTTGGAATAAAAACTAGCTTTACCTGATGTTCACAAGTTACTTTTATAATGCGAATGAACACACGAAGTAAATCTTCATTGTACAATCTGACTGCTGCTGTTAATGAAAACACTTTTTTTCTGAAAGGAAAACAGACCTGTAACTGTCATCAGTTGTGTTTTTAAGAGACAGCAGCAACATTTTGTCTTTAAGTCAAGTGTGCTTACTTCCAGTTCAGTCAAAGGAGAGTTGCTCATGCTCTGAATTGCACAGAGTGAAAAAAAGACTGTTTAGGTTGCAGTCCCAGGAAGGAATTTAAATGTCTGTCCAATTGAATTATCTTTGTACTCATCGATTCCTGGAATTGGCTAACATGCAATGAATTGAAAAGAACAAACATGGTGCAGATGAGCAGCGCCTGTTGCGTAACCTCAGACTTCTTGCAGTCATTTGTTTTTGGAATTGTTATAGCTGATGTAGTTACATTGGAGTGTGTATGTTTTCTTGATGCACAGGCCAACACAAACCTGTCAACTCTTACGAGAAGATCACCATCAACAAGAACTCCCGCGCCACCCTGAACAGCCTGAGGCACATCATTAGCAAGAACAAGTACAGAAAGGACCTGCGCATGGTGAGCATAATATGTAGTTACCACATTGTTTTCTGTGATGCTCTTTTTTTAAAATTAGTATTTGCATGATTTAAGTCTTAATTTGTCTCCCCAGGCTGCCCTGCGTCGTGCCAGTGCCATTCTGAAGAGCCAGAAGCCTGTTGTGGTCAAAAAGAAGCGCACCAGGGCTGCCAAGACAGCATAAACTGATTCACATGATAAATAAATAAAAGATTTTTGTTTGGAAAAAACATTACATTGTCCTGAGTCTTAACTTGCCCAAAGATTGTTTATGTCTGTAATACAGGATTGTGCAAGCATTTGGATTTGTTATTCCATACTTGTCACGTAATTACCAATATTTCTGGGAACGAGTAAATGTGTGAAAGTTCCTCGTAAAAGCAGCCACAATCTGATCAGTCGAGGATTAAGTCGGGGTTTACAAATGGAGAATTAGTACATATTTGTGATCTGGTTGAGAAAATGTAGGCTTCTTTCCCTCAAGAATTGAATGAATTGTACAGGTCTTGTGTGTGGTGTGTGTGTATATAGTACAAAACAGAATTTTAAAAGACAGCAAATGCCTGATTTAAGAAGCACAACTAAAGATAAAAACAACCTGGTGTAAGTAGTTTGGCTGTTGTAGTTAGAAATAGGTCAGTAACTGGGCTCTAAGGTTTTACTGACCTATTTTTATTGAAGTTTGTTGCACTCTGCTAAAATATCTCAATACCAGACCAACCTCTAGAGGCTGTTGAAGTGTCATTGAAATCTACACAGTTACTCATATGATTGCAGGAATGGTTTTCTTTGTTCCTGTCAAACTCCTACGTGTTTTTCAAATATTTATACACAGATGGACTGAAAACACCTTTGCCACAGTGTCCTGATGTCCCTGCGATGATGTGCATGCTGTACTACATGTGACAGAAATTAGCTGCAACTAATTAAAAACCAGGAGGATGTCTGTTGGTATTGATCTGTGCACCCAGTCGGCTCATAGCTTCCATTTTTACCAATATCCTTGAACTTTATTTTACATAAATCCCAGAAGAACTGAACACTTAAGGGTTGTCTGAACATCATATGTTTTAAGCAGATCATTTTCATTTGAAATAGATTATACTGAAGCAAACAGGGCCTCTGTTGCTTTAGCCACTGTGACCGCTGATGTGGAAACATTGGATAGATTTTAAAGCAGCCCACTGGCAGCTTTCCACCCATGGCTTTGGAAAGAAAGAACAAACTGTTGTCACCTCCCCTTGAGTTTAAGCTGATAAAGTATACTGCACCAATCATTTCTGCAGTGAAGAGCACCTCTTGCACACGGGATCCGGACGCACCTATGAGAGGGATTAGTGTCTGTGAAGATGTGATAGAGGCTGAGCACCGTGGTCGCTATGAAGGGACTGAGGCCGGTGTTTTTCTTCGTGGCTGGGACTCTGCTGGTCCTGCATAGCTGGAGCTTTGAACTGCAGGACACAATTCATGCACTGATAGAGGAGAATATCCACCTTCACGACCAGCTGGAGAACCTCACCCAAGCTCTCAGGGAACTTAAACGGATGCTCTGGCATCACTCAAATGGTACTGAGTTTAACATTTGAATATACAGTACAGATATGGGTCAAACAACACAGCTAAAAGCTTTGAGTACCTGTTGTAGTTATTGAATAGGAAAATTGTTATGGAAAGTTATTTAAGGGTACATGAGAAACAAATATTCAACAGTATTTAAAGTAATTTTCAGAGAAGATTCACCGTATTAACTAAATTAAAAATATTAAACCAAGAATATGTGTTGCATAATGTTACATTTTTTCAGTATTGGCTGTTCCAAACATAAACAGGGAAAGAAATCTTTTAGATAATGTGTTTTTATTTAATGTATAGCCTTCACATTTCTTCATTCTCGTTCTTATCTGTTAGTATTCGTACTCTGCATTTCACTACACATATTGCTTGTGTATACAAAAAATAAATCCTCTAAATCTACCCGAAATCATCATGTAGCATTATTTCGTGATTCCATATATTTATACTTCAAGACACAGGGTGTATAATGTATGCCCTCTGGTGCATTGTGTTTTTAAATGTCCTACCCCCAAGGTCAAAACAACTGTCCGCTCTTCCCTTTCACTTTTGTCCTCTCCCTCTCATTTCCTGTCTGTGTCTGTTTCCTCTTAATCCTTTCCCTTGCTTGTTTTCATTCATTCATGTTCTCCTGTAGCTTCCTCTTCATAGTTGTTTGACCTCATCCAGACAACTGATACACATTTCATAACATTAGTCTTCAGGGCATACATTGCAATACACTTCCATACCCCTATCTTACCATGGTGTGTGTTTAATACAGACCCAGATCATCACGAGCACCACGAACATCGCAATGAGGATGCCCAGCACCTGTGGGACGAATGGTCAACACACGGTGCGTATCATGAGTGAATTCAGAGAGCTCAGGTAGCAGATGTTAGAAAAAGCTTCCAGCAGATTCACTGCCTTGTGTGTGCAAGTTGTGGCAGAGCCCATACCATTAGTTGGCATTGATTTCATGGCCATATATATAGGCTGCAGTTAGGCTTAAGGGGTCATGTAAGCACCAGAGGCATAATGAAATGTTTTGTTTATCAGCTCTGCCACAAATGAGCCTTCCAGCAGCACAATATTTGTTGGGTTAAAGGTGCTAGATACACGAGATGGTGTGACTGTATTTCTCCCTCTGCGGCAGGCATCAGTGCAGAGACTCATCTCCTGCTGGAACATGCCTTTTGTGGACATGACCTGCACGGCTCAGCTGCTCCCTTCCATGAAGAAACAACCCTCCTCCTGCTGCTGACGCTATCCTGTCTCACCCTGCTGCTGCTGATGAACTATTTGTAGGCTACATTAGCCTGGTGTCCACTGAAGAGCTGCACGCAACTTCAGTTAATTTCTTGTGGCCAATGGGGATAAGTGCAAACTAAACTAATAACTGAAAAGTGAGTTTTGATATGGTTCCAGAGATTAGCTCCAGCCCTGGCTCGCCTTTTCAGAGTGATTATTGAGTGAACAGGATTGGATGAGTTGACCTTTCCACAATCTGTGTTCACCTCTGGGAATTTACTGAACTGGAAAGGAGCCTGTTGATGCTGGTGTGTTATAACAGAGGAAGCTGTATATATATATATTACAGCAGGTTAAACCTGGTGACTCACCTAATTACGGCCATTGTGGTTATGTGGGCAATGTTTTTTATAAATCAATTACTTGTGTAGGAGTTGTGTCTACCACATTTTGATTATATTGATAATGGGAATTAATTACATGAGATGCTCTAAAACCACTTTTAAGACTACTTATTTCATCTGTTCAGCTATAAACAATGAGGAAAATGGAGTTTGGATTCCTTAAGAAATAATCATGTTATAATCATTTTCACAGGACACTGACTTGTCATAGCAGGAAAGGCAAGGAACTAATTGCATTAACGATGGCTTTGTTGTGTGAAAAAGGTCCAGTGTCTGTAAATACTAGTAGTGGATACAATAAATGGCTACGAATGGGAGGAACTCTGCAGCCCATTGTGTTCAACCACTGACCTACGTAATGAAAAAAGTATAAGAATATCAAGTAGTGCAGCTTTAAAATTCCTGAGCTTCTTCTTGTTTATCATCCCTACCTTGGAAAATTCTGATAAATAAAAAAAAAACAATAGACAGAGTCCAAACATTTGTTTATTTTTCCCACTATTTGAAATGGTACAGCACATATAAAAGTTATAAAATTAACTACAAGTCAGTGAAGAATTTGTATTCTACAGAGTGAAACACATTCAATACAATGAAGATGCACATGAAACAAAAAAAAGGGGAAATAAATGAATAAATAGTTGACAGTCATAGCTCAAACAAAACATTTAACCTAACAGCTACATCATTCTCGCTGTGAACAACAGGTCCTTATCGATATTGATAATGGCTAGAATTTACTTAAATATAACTCATGGAATGAAGTCGTGATGAAACTCAATGATGTTCTGTGTGCATTTACTTTTGCCTTCAATGCTGGTTGTATGTTGCTGTGTGAGTAGTAACATGGCATTCCAGGTTCAGTCTGTCATCACTACGGGGGGGGTCCACATACATAAAAATGATCTATAGTCCATGCAGACTGCGTACGAATATTTTCCAAGCATATAATGCACGTTAGCTATTATGGCTCTAGTCTATATCAAGGTCAGAGTCCTCGTCGCTCACAGTGTTCTGTATGATGGCTCCATTGCGAACCGTCTTCGGGACCATGGGGGGCTTGTCAGGCAGCAGGCCGTACTCCTGCAGCAGGGCCTCCAGGTCTACGGCAAAGAAGTCTTCCCCGAGCTGGTCTGTGAGCCGCACGAAGTTCCCGATCAGGTCCCCTCCTTTGTAAACGAGCAGAGCGGGCAGAGCGCTGTCTCTGAACAGTGCGCTGGTGCTGATGGCCGAGCTGCGCACGCTGCAGAACTTGACCAGCGGGTATTCCTGAGCCAGACAGAGCAGGCTGCCGCTCATGGCCTCACAGCCCGGGACGTCCGGTTCGTAGATGTGGATCATGACCAGCGTGCTTTTGTCCTCGTTGTCCAAAGCCTCCAGGAAGTCCTCTCCGCTGTTAAGCTCGTAAACCTGTGCAAAACGTTTGCCGCGGCAGAGCTGGCGCCGCATCTCTTCAATGCGCTGCATACGGTAGTGCTGGAGGAAATCTTCATCATCCTCTTCTTCCTGAAGCATGTTGTACTCTTGCATGGTCATCTGTGGGGTAGACGAAGAGGATAGGCAAAGACAGGTGGTTAAAGGAAAAGTTAGACATTTTGGGAAATAAGCTTTATTGCTAAGTACGGTAAATATGAATCTACAACCAGCAGATGCTTAGCATAGGTTAAACTGGAAATGGGAGGAACAGGTAGCCTGGCTCCGTCTAAAGGTAACACAATTCTTTAAAAAATGGACTGATCTATAATTAGACAGTGTCAGAAAATACAGGATAAAGGCAGAGGGATTCCACTGTTAATCAGGTTGTTTTTAATTAATACCGTGCCTATATTTAGGCTTTTCCTACAGCAAGTGTTCCACTAGCAAGTTTGGCACAGTTTGAAGAGGAGGTCAACCACGCACTTCCAACAATGGTGTGAGAAACAAGACGTTTAAGCCAAAAGGAGCCTTTTATAAACATTCTTCCCCATGTTAGGCACTGTCTGTATTTTGTACCCGTCCTACTTACTTTGCCTTTTATTTTTTCCTGCAGCTCTTTCTGTTTCTCTTTGTCTTTTTCCAGGTCGAGGTCAGAGCGGCAGCTCATGGACAGCTTCTTGATCAGTCTTTCCATCTCTCTCTTCTGCTCTTGTTTCTGCTCCACCTCCAGCTGCTTGTACTTCCTCCAGTCATTGATGACACCCTTTGGTCCTGGGAAAGAATAACCAGTGTCATTGCTATGTTAACTACTGCAAACATGTAATATGCTCTAAATAAGTACTAAGCTCATATAGTTTCTAACCCTCCTTATAATAATAATAACCACACATCTCAATGCATTCATCAAATATTTTGTATTAACCACATACATAATGTTTTATATCTTTAATACAATGATGTCTTATAAAAACTCTTCAACACTAGAGGTTTATTGTAATTTTTTGTGTCGTTTCAGTGACACTATGGGACTGACGTGAAGCATGGTCACTGCAAATCTTGCCTTCTCATTACCTGTCTTTAATTCCCATACAAAATGCTGCACAGTGGTCTCATCTGGACTCTTTTCAGTGTGCATGTGCATGCAATAGTTACCCGTGTTGACAGCGCTCCCATCTGCGCTGTAGTCTATCTCCGGCTCCACGGCGTTTGCGTCCCGGATGGTCTTGTTCTCCCCATCGTCATCCTCGTTGTCGCTGCCTTCGTCCTCACTGCTGCTGTAGTAGTACTGCAGCTTCTCTCCCAGGATCTTGTCATCCAGAGTCGTCATGACAACGGCCCACCTGAGGGTTGCATTTGTTAATGGTCACAGATGCAACTTACTAACTTCACACATGGGACGGTATCCTCGTGTGTGTGTGTGTGTGTTTATTAACGTGACTGAGAGCTCATCCTTCATCCCTGTACTGCACACAGAGGAGTTCCTTGCATTCACAGGCTGTTGGGTGATTTGACTAATAATTTACATGGCTAATGCCCTGCTGCCATTTGCTTTATTTTTAAAGCCTCATAGAAAAAAAAAAAAAAACACATCTTCAGATTAACAACAGCTTTGTCTCATAATAGAGAGCACATTAGTCAGTGGCGCATAATAATCCAGACTGACAGCCATCCAAGCTGTCATAGGTCGGATAGAAGGGGCTTACTTCATAAAATAGGACATCTACACTATACATAGCTTATAGCAAGTGTGTCAACACACAAAACTTAGGCTGAGGGGTCTTTAATGATGCACTGAGCCGTGTGTAAGCCAACCCATTTGCACAAATGGAGAAGCAAGCAGGCAAACACCCTTAATAAATAAATCCCTCTCACTTTTGATTGTGGCCAGGCAGCAAAATGGAAGATTACAGTGTCCCCCAACTACAGTGTACAGCTCCTTTGTTTGGTTTGGTTGCCATTATGTGACAATACAAACCCAATATCTCTGCACTGCCTTTGAATATCTCCACTACATGTAAACAGAGAGGGCGAAGGCCTACAGCCGACACACTAATGTTAGGTTGTGTGGAGAATCCGTGCCGATCTGACAGCGAGCTTAATCTATTATATAGTAAGCGAGCGCCTCACGGATATTGTTACAGCTTTCTAAAGGGGATAGCGACAAACCAATTAGCTTGTTTACTAAGTAGGACACGGGCCGGACCAGCAGGCACTACTACAGCGTTTGTGACACTGAGCTAGGTTAGCATTAGCCAACTGAGCCAGCTCTTCTCACTTCCTCCTGACAACCCGTAAACATCAGCTAGCCATAAGAAATGTTAAATTAACTCGACTCCAAATGTACACGCTGCTATAAAACCGGACAAAATGACTCTTACCTTTATGATATGGTCAGCTAGCGGTAGTAAAGTATCTCCAGCTCCCAGTGAGTTCACACCGCAGCTAATCTGCTCTCTCCCGCAGTGTGCTGCCTTCAGGGCTCCGGGAAATGTCGTAATTATTAAATATGAGCGCAACGAGAATCTTATTATTATTATTATCATCTTATTTTATAGTTCAGATTTTTCATCCTTTCTGTGTGTGGACATTCTGGGAGCCAGTCATCAGTGTCGCTCAGTGTGTGATGTTTGCTACAAATTTTTCAAACACAAATATTACTCTTAAATGCACACATTTTGCAGTTACTACAAAATAACTAAACACAGACCACAGCCACTCAAAAATTGCTGAGTAATGAGTTAATTCTGGTGCTATTGCAATCCAAATAGGTAATTCAAAGAATAATATGTGAGGGGGGTCATATTCTGAAGTATATCTATAAATTTGGACTTTACTGAGAGCACCTAAAGGTAACACGATACCATGGTGCATCCGGGTGCATCCCACTGACGTGGTCAGTGTTGTCATACAGTACCCACCTTCACAACTAGAGGGCAATATGACTATAAAACATGACACAGACTACTTGTTCTATTACTACCACAACTATAACACAACCACTGTCTGCAGGCTCACAAAGAACTGCATTTTAAATTGAGCATTACTCCCTTTTTGTTTTTACAAAAGGTACCATGATACCAATGAGAGATTCAAATCACAGAATTCAACTCATCTGAAAAGTCAGACAGCACCAGATCTTGTCAAAAGGAGTCTGTAGATTATTTCTTGTTTGTGTCTGATATTAATAATCTAATATGCATCCATGTTCTGAGCTATGAGGTAACCATGCTTTGTAAACCCTGAGTCGGTTGTCTCCAGTATTCAGCCTCAACACAAAAGAAACAGTGTATTCACAAGGATTAGTGGGTGGGAAGTGTGAATGGAGACTCATGAGAGGAACAAAAGAAGGAGGTAGTTAAAAGAAAAAAAGATTTGAATCGCTGCCAATTTAAATAAACAGACAATAATCCACTTTGGGTCTATAGTTTTATTTCAATGAATGGTTATATTGCATTGCAATCACTTCTTTTAAAATAAATCTACAGACAGTACATACCTTTATTACTGCACAGTGTGAACATGTTTTTTTTTTTTTTTGGATAGTATTTCAGTCTTCAGGCACAAAGCGTTAAACGAAAACCATATGTTTATGTCCTCACTGTTTGCTCAAGACAGACAGTCTTAAGGAAGAGACGAGTTTTCATACTGAGCTCTGAGTCCCGTGTGATTCTCCAGTGCTGTTCAAACAAGCATCACTGTATGTTCTCCACACAAACATCAACACATGCTGTGTGTTTTAGCAGCAGCCTCCTTTACCTTAATTTAGGGATGTAAAACCATAACCTTCTTGTGTCTGCGAAGGGTCATAGCTCATCAGTTCTTACTTTACTGTCATCACTCCCTCTTTGTGATTGCTCCTCAGCTGGTACTCTAAATGCCACATAGGGACACGACTTGGTGTTTAGACAGACCAGCTTCTTTAGTGTGGCGGAGTTCACTATGTCAAAGCCGACTTTGCCTCCAAAGGTACTGGGCTTCCAGTATTCAGGAGAACATATAGGGTTTCCCAGGAGGCCTTTAAGGGAGAAGGGGGCACCCATCTCCACCATGCTCTCTCCAAATATGGTGCCGGCTCTTGTTTTCTCCAACATCAATCCAGGATAAAACTCAAGAGCTTCAATGTCACCGTAAAACTCTTCAAGCTCGCGGGCTATCTCCTCGCTATCTGCAAACGGTAACCAGGAGTATTGCACAGTTAATACAAATATTAAAGCATCAAGGATTCATTTATAAGCACTACAGACGGCAGTCAGAGTCCACCACTTTGGTCCAGACTGAAACTGGATTGATTGCCATGAAACTTGCCCCAAAAAATATTCATGGTGATCAGAAGATGAAGGCGTATAACTTTAAAATACCCCTAGCTTCTTTCGTTAACACCACCAGCAAGTCAAAGTTTTACTTCTCAACATTTACTGTATGGATTGGCACACAATTTGGTGCAGACGATGAATCCTAATAATTCTGGCAATCCTCTGACTTTTGCTCTAGTGTCACCATGAGGTTCATACTTGGTGGTTTGGAGCAAAATATCTCCTGTGCCTAAGTATAGCCTCACAGGGCCGCTAGCATAGCTGTAGATTCTTATTAATCACATATTTTGTGATTGTGGCAGGGAACCTTTTTCACAGCAGCCATTGTCACATGAAATAGGGTAAACACAGGTGTTACCAATAACATTAACTGAGTCTCTGTTTCATTTAGTGTAGTAGAGCCTTTCCAACATGCACAACAGCAGCACCCTGACTCTGTCTGCCCAGAATGAAATGAAACCTTAATTAGTATTATCACCTGTGTTTACCCTACTATTTCATGTCAAAATGGCTGCTGTGAAAAAGGTCTATTGTCCAAGTTGTGCATTTAATGAAATTAATGTCATGCAATTCATCTACAACTTGATACAGAAATGTCAAAGGAAGACATTGTAACAGCAACGATGGAAATAGGGAACGGTCTTGAAAAAAAATGCCTTGAAAGGGAGCGGATGCCATTTATTCCAAGAATGTATGTCCAGCTGCTCTCATGGACTTGTAAAAGTTGTAAATCACATGCTTGGTTACACTTCGTGCTGTGTGGTCTGTTTTTCTTACCAGTGAATTGTCTGAACGATGTGTATGGCTTCAGATTAAAACGCTTCCTGTACTCGTTGAAGGGCTGCATGCGGAGTTGGCGGGACTCCTTTATGGCTCCCACGGCCACTTTGGTCACCATAGCATTGATGTTATGGCCACCACCAATCTGTAGGACAAATATTGGAAATGAAATATCCTATTGGAGACATTTTAAATATATTCCGTGTTTCATTCCCTTGCAGAGCTAAGCAGCTCATGTGGACGTGCTTTGATTGTCTGTGTTGTATATGTTTACCTGTAATGTAGGTTTGTAATTTTATAATCTATGTTAAGACTGTAATTAACAAACATTCATTTAGTTTCTGATCAGTACATAGATTTCTGGATGTGACAAGCAAGGGAACCCAAAAACAATATTAATATTTGTTTCTGCTTAGCTCATAAACCGTTTTTGTAGCTATGACTACAAATATTACAGTCACCACCAATCTCAGTTAATCACTCAACAGTACAAAAGCATTGCCCAAGTCACCCTCAGTTATCAACATTTAACCAAGCCAAGCACCTACATGATACAGTTCTAGAAAAACAGGTAGAAAAGAGTGTGACTGCCAAAAACTCTCTTTGTATCGGCTGTGGTTACCTGGCCAGCAGCTTGCCGAGAAAAGGCATCCACCAGTTTCTCAATGCCATAGTGTGTGAGAACAGAAGTGTTGAAGAGGAACTGCGGGTATGACAGTTCATCTCCGTTAATAAAGAAACTGTCGGGCATCAAGGGGTGCCAGTGATAGAGCTGGCTGAACTCTAGGGCAATACGGTTCCCATACTGGAAGTTGGAGTTAAACAGCAGGGTGGGATCAAACTTCAACTGCAGCAGGTATCCACTGAGGTGCTGTACGTACTCCTCTATCACTATCCGTATTGTTTCACCTGAGAGAAACATGCAGAGACACAAACAGGGAGGGCAGATGAAAGAACCTAGCTGATTCTGACTCACGACAGAACAGGTTCAAACTCAAGATGGCTCAAATAAAATCATCATTAGTGAGTTTATTAAGAGGTGTGCTCACATACAGTATTATTAAACACCAGCTCTAGACAAACAAAAGATTTTGAAACATCTTAGAAGTAGTTTGAAATTTCGGAAAATATGCTTTTTTTTCTATTCTTGCTGAGTGTCTGATACTCTCAGCCAGCAGACGGTTAACTTAGCTCATCATAAAGAGGGAAAACCGGGAATAAGCTGGCCTGGCTCTGTCCAAAGATAACAAAGTACACTTAATGGTACGCAAGTGTAAAAAAATTCCTTTGTTTGTCTTCTCCCCAGTCAGGGAAAAAGTTACAGTGCAGCAGGGGAGGACTTCGTCATGTATAAAATACAGTCCTTTCCATCCTTGTGTGACAGTCCCCCCTGGCACTGTAACAAAGTCACCCTACCAGCACGTTGAAAGCTCACTAATTAACGCATGATATCCTGTTTGTTTAATCTGCACAATGGCCAAAAAGTGGATACACATAGTCTAGAACATTACCCCGTGTAAACCACAAACTCCATTTTTACACCTAAACAAACAAGATAATGTTCATTTGTGAGCTTAAGAGGGGCTGGTATTTTGTTATCTTTGGATAGAGACAGGCAAGCTGTTCCCCTCAGTTTCCAGTCTTTGTGCTAAGCTAATTGGTTTCTGGCTGTAGCTTTATTTATCAAATAAAGCAAGGAAATTAGCATATTTCCAAAAATGTCAAGCTATTCTTTCAAAACTGTGTCCAGCTCACCAATGATGATGAGGCGTGTGGTCTGGAAAATCTGTTCATCATCCCAGGTGGGATGTTCCGCCTTCAGGATGTCACATACTCGGTTATGCTCCCTCAGCCAGAGCGTGGCATACATTCCCAAACCAGGGAGGAGCCCATACACTTCCTGACCAATAGCCATCTGACCCTCAGGAGGGATCCCTGGAGGGTAGCTCATCTTAATGGGTGCATCAGCTACAGAGGGAGGGTACATCTCGCCGTCAATTAACTGATGGGAAAACAATAATTATACATTACAACGCATTGCAAATCTGGCTTTCTCAACCTTCTCCACTTTATCTGACTGTATAGTGCCAGTCCTACATACTTCTGCATTTATAACTGTATACATGTATAACTTCTGGTAACTTCAGATGCTTCTTAGAGCTAATGACAGCAACAGATTTGGCTAACATGCTTGTTTGGTTCATGGAAATATCTCACATAACACAATATTGTTTCACTTTGCCCTTGAACGGAAATTATTTGTTCCAATCTTGATCGACATGTAAAGGTAAGTCTTTGTGCACACGTCTTTTTCTATTCAGTTTCGACTCTTTTACCTGATACTTGAGTTTTCCGTCTTGGTGAAGCCTGAGCTGGAGCTGCCGTTCCAGGTTGTCTCCATACACGTGCCCAGCATCCACCTGTATGTGTCACAGGACAAGACAGAAAATGAGGTGAGAGAATGAGAGGAAATAATTAAAAGCATGACTAAATATGAGTTGATGACATTGTGACTGATTTTGTTCCCATTTTTAGTGCTTATTTGATTTTTAATGGTGTTCAATCAGGTTTTTTAGAGTTTGCCATAGTAGCAGCTGGTTAGTTTAGCTTAGCACAAAGACTGGAAAACAGAGGGTCTGGCTCTGTTCAAGGTAACAAAATCACTGTATCTCATTTGCTTAATCCCATCTCTTGCTGATTTACATAAAAGCTCTTCAGGCTTTTAAATTTTCACTCCTGGACTATTTATTATGATACGTTTGCCATTTTATGTTTTAATCTGCTTTCTAACTGTATTTCAGTGTCTCCATATCTTTATGATTCATTGCTTGTTTTAATGTTATTGATTTTTATACTCTCTTTTTTGTTTTTTCCCCTGGGAAAGCACTTGAAGGTGTGGTAAATTTAATCTGCAGTCCATCCGTTCCTGCAGTTAGCCGTCCCCTCCCTCCTCCCCACGTCACCACACTGAAATTCTGCTGCCTGCCCTTAAGGGCCGTTTCTTGGTGGAGTTCTCTCTCCTCATTCAATAAAGTACTATTGAAAGGAGGGACTGTGAGTCAGACTCTAGGGCTTTTTAACACTTTTTTTTAAATGCCTAGAGCAGCATTAAGAATTGTGCTATTGAAATAAAGTTTATTGTTATTAAACGGACAAAAGTTTTAAATGGACTAACCCCATGTGCTATAGCCTTAGTGAAGCCCAGACCCATGCGATTGTAGGTCTTAAAGAACTGGTGAGTGAAGTGTTGCGCAAAGAAGGCGAACATAAGGTTGGAGCCCTGGGGGTCGGGTCTAAACGTCCTTCTCTTCAGCAGCCTTTCAACCAGCAGCTCAGGGTCAGGCAGCCCAGCCCCGCCTGAACAGGAAAAAAAAACACGTCAAACACAGCACGGGGCACAACACACATACACCACACCTTTAGTCATAATACTGAAACAATGCGTCTGTGTAAACAGTACTGATACACTTAACACATGACACTGCACTTCTGAATCGCCCAAGGTCATCCAATCTTCATTCATGATGCTGTGGTGGAAAGTTTAGCTTCAACTGAGCAATAGACATGTTCTGCATTACATATTAGTGATGCAGTCACACATTTGTACCTCGTAATGAATTATATCAAAATTATGCAGTAGTGGAAATACTTTACTATAATTTTAAGACACTTGTAGTAGACAATTTGAGTGTTTACTCTACTCTACATCTGTGTTTTTACTCCAATACTATCTTCACTTATCTCAAAGCTACTTGATCATCTTACAAAATACAGACTGAACTATTACTACTGTAATAATACACAACATAGTGCAATTATCATTGTATTAATATAAATAGGTAGGGCAACATTTAAGAATTCATGGTACTAGTGCCAACACTAGCACAGTTTCGGTATTGACACAATACTTTTATCGATACCTTATCAATACTCTTACTTAAATATCAACACATTCTGCTGCTCAAGACAAAGGGAGCCAAAATCATTACATGTTAAACGTCTATTTCCAGTGGCAGAAAACTATTTCATTTCAACGGCCTCTGAGCTAGCAACCTACGCACTGAAAATGGCAAGTTACCCTGACCCTACCCCAGTCTTTAAGAGTAAAAATATAAACAAGCTAGCAGTTGTTAACTTTTCTTTTAAAAGGATTTAGCCATTTTAATGCCAGGGCTTGCCTACCCATGTCCAAATGTTCCACCAAAATGACTCCGCCCCCAAACGCTACATTCCTGCATCCTGGGCTTAGCATTGCCAAAGACAATCATAATGGGTTTAGACCTTTCTCCAGTGCTGGCACATCGCTAATGTGAAGTGTGAAGATAGGTCTGGTGCTCAATCTCTGTGGGTTCGTCCCTATGAGTCACACCTTTCACATCGCACTTACTAATCTGATCCATCGGTAATGTAAAAATATGAATTATTGCAGCTTTAAACTTAATATAAATGAGTGGCTTACCTTTAACCCCCAGAGGTGTAGGGCAGTCCTCTGGCACGGGGGGCAGAATCCGGGTGTAGTAGCTCAGATTATAGTAGGATTCCCAGCTGAGGTAGTTATATTTTGAGTTGTAGGTTGGAGGAGTGGGTATTAAGTTGGCTCTAACTGTTCATTAAAAATATAAAAGGACATTAGACATTGAATATTTGACAGCCCTGAGTGAATTTCTTTGAATAAATTGCTGACTCTGGACCTGTTAAAACCAGCCGCATGAGAACGTCCCGTAGGAAGGTGTGGTTGATGATTTCCCAGAGCCAGTGAAAATGAGTGAGAATGTAATGCACCACATCTGGGCTGGGCTTCAAGAACTGACGCACCCTGGTCCAAAACTCCGCTGTGGTGGGAGGACAAATGAAAAAAACAATCTTGTTACTGGAAGTCAGGGCTGCTGGGAATTTAGAGTGGAAATTCACAGCTGACAAAATCAGTATCTCACAGGACACTAAGCATTCACTAAATTGCTCAGCCATTCACTGAATAAAGTAAATAATATGACAATTCAGTATGACTATCAGGCTAGGAGTTTTAGCATCATGGGGGCAAGGCTGGATTACCAACCAGGCAAAGCAGGCAACTGCCCCAGGGCCCCCAAAACTCCAGGAGCCCTAAAAGGTCCAGGCTTACGGTGTGTCAGCTGGTTTGTTTGCGATAATGCCTCATTAAACGACAATATCAACTGAACCGAAACAAGTTTTAAACTCATTAGTGACACATTATCACCTTTCAAATTAATATGGAGAACTAATTAGCAAATATTTGCATATTTACTCATCAGGCAGTTACACAGCAATACTTGCTTTCACTGGGAGTAGTGTTTTTTGAACCCCGAATGTTAAGTAAGTAAATCCGATGTTCACTCTCTTTTGGCTCTGTTTTTGGTATAAATATCTGTAACTTTAGCTGTTAAATGCACTATATTCACCAGCTAGTTGCTAACATTGTCTGTCTGCTATTTGGTGCAGAGCAGTTAGTGTAAAGTGGGCTTTTTCTGAGGTTGTTCACTGAAAATAACTGCCTGTTGAGGCTGGAAAGAATACTATGAGGATGAACCAAAACAGTTGCTGGACAGCTAAACACCCAGTTGAAGCATCAGGTTCGGGTGATAATACTATGATAAGTTGGTTCATCACATCTCTTTCACATTGTCATTTGATACATTGTTATTATAACAATATTGACTCTAACTGCTTTAACAGAATAAATATAACATGAAAAGCCTAAATACTGTACCAAAGGTAGGAATGTGTGTTTGTGGACCTATTTCCAAAATCCCAAAGCTCCATTAAGATGTTTCAACGTTGATCCTGTTTGTGTAAAACGAGCTACATGTGTGGCTGTTCTACATGGTGTAAGAAGTAAAAAATATTATTTAAAGTAAATCTTATCACTCAATCCCATTTCCCCTGTTTGCCATTGCTTGTCTTTTCCATCCTTCTCCTCGTTCTTTCTGTTTTTCTCTGCACAATCAAAGGTTGATTGCTCATATGCCTGATGAGCGTGATGTAACTGCATAACTGCCTGCCAAATACATCACATCTGATTAAGCACTACAGTGTGTGAGGGTTCCCTGTTAATGAGAAGCAGACCAGCAGAGTTAGTAGGTGGTTCAGGAAAGAGATCAGCAAAAGCAGCTCGGATCCAGCTGGTCTCTTTCTGGCAGTTCCTCCAATTCTTCCAAATATTTGGGTCTAGACATGGAGTGCTAACCCTGTCGGCCAGGAGCTATGTTGCTCTATTTCCTGAGTTAACAACAACAAAATAAAACCCTTTTTCATCAGCCACCGAGCCCTTTCCGTCTCATGTACAAAAGAAAAGCAGAATATTTCAAATTCCTGAAAAGTGCAATAATAAGAGGAGGATATGAGAGCTTGTCTTATGAGGATAACTGGACTCACGGACAGTGCAGTTTTCTCCGTAGTAGCCGGTGCGAGTGCAGTCGCACTCATACTTGTCTTCACTATACCTCACACACACACCCGAGTGCTGACAGGGTAAATAGCAGCATGGGTTCACTGTGGAAAACAGGAAGAGCTCACATCAAAGACAGTGAGAAATACTTACATAAACTCATATATATGAAGCTGTGACATTGTAAGAAATTGAAAAAGAGATCAAGATCAAATATTGACTTGACACTTGCTTCTTGCACAGTGATTGAGTTCCCGACAAAAACTATCATTTGCCTTAGCACAAGATAGGATCAACACTTTTACTACTACTACTAATACTTTTAACCAGACGTCAGATCTCAGATTGAGCCTTTAAGGACTGACTCAAAATAACGTCTAAAGTGTAAAAAAAAAGAATTCGACAGACTATTTCTTGGAGGTACTATGCCTGGTCCACCACATAACTCTAAGTTTAAGGAACAAATTATTGTTTTTGCACTTTAAACATGAAATATAACGTTATTTAGTGAGACTGAGAGGTGCTGGTAGGTGGATTATGTTACCTTTGGCCAGAGCCAGGCTGGCTATTATTCCGTTTCCAATCTCTATGCTAAGCTAGCTAAGTTAACCAGCTGCTGGCTTTACCTTTAAGGGTAACTTTATTCAACTGACAAATGACGTCCATTACAAGTGCTTGCTTATAGAGACTGTACAGAGCGAGAGTTCTGCAGCCGTCAGGCACAAAACAAGCTGTAATAAAATTTGTGTTTTTGTTTTTGTTCAATGTTTTAAAAGGTCAGTGGAGTCTGATGGCTTTGAGCAGAGCGATACAACGTCTGTTTCTGGTTAAACAAAAGGGATCTTACTCTTTAACAAAAAGTTCTATCTCTGTAGGGTCCTTTCCATAATGTTGTCAGACACTTATATTAACAAACTGAGCCTGTCAGTGGAAAAAATAACCACTTTTAGCGGAAGTACATTGACGGTCCCTTCTCTGAAGGGATTACATTACTGCTTGTTTCACAGCTGCCAGCTGCAGCACTCTCACTCGATACTAAAACCGAAATTTAAAACCACACAGATGTAATACAATTTTTTTAATTAAAATGTATGTCTGTATGTCTATAATCTAAAGGGTGGGGGAAAAATCCTCTTGGCTCAAGTCAGTGACATGAAAAACCTTTTCTAAAAAATGCATTGACAAGTTACAACAAGCAAAGTTCATACATTCAGGTTTCAGGGTAAGAAATGAAATCCTCTTAAATTACAACATGATGACAGATAAGAGTGTTTTTACTAGACATTCCTCCATCCCAAGATGTATGCATAAATAACTACAAGTTCCTTTTGTCATAGAATAGTTCAGGGTGTAGCATTACAGATATGTATGTTATGATAACCGTGCGATAAACTACTCATCCATGTAAACTCTGACAAAAAGCATTACTCAAGAGAAGTTGTATAAACTTCCCTGAACGTGCAAAAACATGCCCCTCCTTGCCCTCGTAGACCCCCCATCACTATGTTATCTACACAGGTACCGTCTGATTTAACAGGTCAGAATGAGTTCAAATCCCACAGATAACATGGAAATTCACATTGCATGCGACCTAAAAATATATAATTAAATTTGAGAATGATTCATTGCCACTGAATCAGCAGCTTATGTTGAAACTTTTTCTCCAATGACTCAAAAGATCCAGGAGTCTGTGTGGGCCTTAACTGCAACAATGACATGATGTCTGATTCAGAGACAATTTTGGCAGCACATAAAAGCAGAAATCGCACGAGAAGAAGGTGAAAGTCTTTGTTCACATGTGTGTAAGCGGATGTTGTGGTTCCTGAGGGCCTGATGGTATACTGTGTACATGAGGGGGCTGCTGTGTGGATGTAGTACAGGTCGGGCCACATGTCTGGCCACAGGTCAGGCAGGAAAAGTCTGTTTGGGGCTTACACTGCTACAAATATATATGTATATGTAGGCCTATCCAGTTTCACAAATCTGTCAGTGCAGAGAGTCTTGAAATTGTATCTTTTAGGGGACTAAAAGGCCAAATTCTCAATACAAATAATGACTCTGTTTCACTCAAGTGAGAAGAACAAGTTGATATGCATTGTCCATAATTGCCCCCCTCACAATGCTTAGTTTTCTATTTGTGACAGTGCTAAATGACATCATGCCTGGAGCAGGCTTGCCAGGACCTGTTTTTATTATCAGGGTTACCAGAATGTCTAGAATCCATAATCCACCAGGTACTGAGGAAGGCCTGATAAGACCAGTAGCATTTCTCTGAAAACACTGATTCATACTCCACTGAACATCTGTTTCCCGCACCGACCTATGCCAGCCATTGAAGCATCAAATACTCAGACAAACAATGGAAGGCATAACACCATGTCCAAACCCACTGACTTCTCACCTACCTGTGTTTGAGGCGACCTCATCACCCCGGCATGCAGGCTCCCTCAACAGCAAGAGAAGAGCCAAAACTGATCCTAGGACAGAGGCTTTGACAGCTGTGTAGAAATCAATGAGTGTTTAAGTACAGAAAGGTAAAAACACACTGCAGACACACAAGCAACAAATCACAGATACTTACATCTCATTTCAGCAGCCTCGGTTCAGGAAAATTTAATTCCAACAAATAAAACTGTGAGAAAAGTGGCAAGGTCCAGACTTCGGGACTGATTCAGAGAGTTGTGGGGAGGAGGATCCAGCTGCTGACAGAGAGAGAGTGAGAGTAACAGAGCAGGAGGACCAGCAGTCCAACAAGTTTGTCTCTGAGTGCTGCAGCCCCGTCGCAGTGCGCCTTCACCTGCCGTCACACGGAAAGGAGAAAGTGGGACGGAGACTTCAGCCAAGTGCGTGTTTGCCCCTTTTTTATCGCCCCCTGTTGGTGCATTCTCATGATTGCAATTTAGTGGGCTTCACGATGCATTCAAATGCAAAAAAGAAATTTACAGTCATGCCTGTGGCTCTGTTTTTTTTAGATAAAGTTAATTCAGTTCATTCAATACATGAACTATAAGAATCAGAAATATTTTATTGCTAATTATTTAATTTTTATTGGCGAGAAATTGAGTCACAAATGCTCCCATTCTAGAAAAAAGAAACATTATAAGAAATAAGAAGTATGTAAACATTGCATGCAATATTCTATGATATATATATAAATATATATATAGAGAGAGAGAAAATAAGGCATGTAAGAATATGTATACTACAATATAACAGTAATAATATGTTTAGAATATATTAATAGATCAAATTGTACAACAAATAAAATATATGTAAAGAAAAAAGGGAAAGAAAAACCTTTGGGTCTGTTAGAGCAAATTAATGTCAGTCTTTGTTAGTATAATATCTTTTAACATTTTATTTTGAAAGGTTCTTCTGTAAATTAAACCCAAAATAAGTACTAGTGACGGCTTCCATCTTAGAATCACAAAAAGTGCATTTGTTGTTTAAAGTTGGAAAGAAATGACAGACATTAGCTTTATCAGGGTAGAATCTGTGTGATCAATTAGCTATATGAACACTAAACACATAAGCAAAGGCTCGGGGAAATGTCATTATTTTGGCAAATATTTGGTCATAATAAATACAAATGTTGGCCTAAAGGAGTCTCACTAGATGAGAAGTCAGAGTATCACCAAAACCATTAGGAGTCATTCTTTGGGCACAACAAATAGTTCAATAGTGTCATTAGCATTGCTGAAAAGATGCAACATGGTGGGCTTTGATACATAAAAAATACTCATAAAAAAGAAATTAGAACATTCAAAAAGCAGAATAGAGAACCACAATACACATTTCTGGCTCACTGGTTCCTCAGACAGTCTGTGAGTTGCACATCCTGGCTCTAATGTTTACTTTATCACTTCACACTGAATGTACAGAGAAGGAGCACAGCACCAGCACAGGTCACAAGGCCAATGTAGAGGAGGTGTGTCAGGACTGTGTGGATGTAATGGATGATATTAACCTCTGAACTGACCTGACTGAGTTGCACTCTACAAGACTCTTGTGTCCACAGCAGGAAGTATTATGCTGAGGTTTGATGTGTTTTTGGTATGCTGAATCAAATTAGATCACCAAAATACACATTGTACTGTATAGTTCACTGTAAACCAAATCAGTTATGATACTGAAATTGCTTTTTGGTGTCCTTTGGAAATAACGGTAGTCTAATTCTGCATTATTTAGGTATTTGTGCATTTTATATTTTACAGCTTTAATTGCAATAAAATGCTTTTACTACATTAAGTTACATTACACACCAAACTGGGAGCACTTTTATACTTTAAACAGGAAAATAATACATACATATTCTTTTTCATTATATTCCCCTTAACTTTAAGAACTGGAGGTAAATATTTATATTTAAACATTAATATTCTCTTTATTAAGAAAACTCTAACCTTTTAATGAACAGTGTTTCTGTTAAAGACACATCCATAGCAACCTTATCAGCACTGCAGAAAATAAACAGATGTGGTGAAGTACAACTTTAAATTGGAGTATTTTGACAGCCTGGAGGAGAAACCCTGCGGCAGGACCTGGAGATGTGTTGAGAAATACTGCTGCCGTGAGATCCCTGCAGGCTTATCTGTGATTTATGCAACACTCTCTCTCTCTCTCTCTCTCTCTCTGCAGCATGCTGTTGCAGATATGTTAGACTTGGCAGATCCACCAAACACATTAAAAGATTACATTTGTTAATAGTGTACCGACAGGTACCAGGAATTGGAGAAAGGAGAAAACACAGCTCTGAAACCCCTTGAAGGCATAATACACTCTTTTCAGTTCAGGGACAAAAGAGCTTCACTGTTGTACCTGCTATGTACCAAAGTTTCATGACACATTTGTGTCTCCTGTGGACCAATTGTTACTAAATGTCTGTTAGCTGGAAAACTATTAACTCTTCTCTGATAAGGGTCACTGTCCTGCTGGGAAATTAACCTTCTTCCTCACCAATTTCAGCCTGAATCTTGCGTCAGCCTCTGCAGCAGAAAGCTTGACTGCTGGTTTTCTCCACTGTGGTCGCTGTCTTCAGACGTTTTCCAGCTGCAGCCATAAAAATTCAAACTTTTGACTCATTTGTAAACTCCCTCCAGTCGTCATCGGAGATATTTCAGTATTGTTTGGCCCCTGATAAATATTTAGACTTATTTTGTTGTTGAAGATATTTGGAAGCTGCTGCTCTGCTGTTAAAGCTGCAGATTGCGATTCATCTTCCAGCTGCACATTTACGACGTGAAGTAGCTGAGTCTGTATGTTGCAGGGCCCCTGTCCAGCTTTGGGCCCCCTGATGCAGCCATAGTAGCAGTGCAGTGTCTATCAGTGTGCATCAGTGTGTATTTAGTGGGGAGCCCTATTTTTTTCTTGCTTGTGCTTGGTTTTTAAGTTCTGTTTTTTATTACACTGCAGTTTGCACAATAAAAGTTTGCTTACATTGTGATTGCTTCATGCAGCATTTTGTGGAGACATTAGTCAAACTTTATAGTAATCAACGTCTTCAGTGTTGTACTCCTGACAGAAGAATCAGCCACTATAAACTTATAAAAAGCGCAAATGCAATAAAAAAAATACTGTGAAACCACCAGAATCTTAAAAGACATTGTGATACAATTGTTTGGTCGTACTGCCCAGAATTACCTATAAGGATGTTATTTTACAAACAACTTTCCAGTAGCTGAAGACAAAAAACTGAGTACAGTTCAAGTGAATGTACAGTATATTGACTCTGTCTAAAAAACAAGGAGTAACATCAGTGAGGAAACCTTTACAGATTAAAATGTGACTCTTTTCTACATGCCTATCAGATATTTAACCAATAGCATCATTTATTTTAGTTTTGGACAGTCCTTCCAGAAAAAAAGAGTTTTTTTTGTGATTGTTGCGGGCAAAAATCCTTGATTATGCGGCACGTTTTCTTAATTCTTTTGGAATATGCGGGATATTTATGCAATTTTATACGATGAAATGCAAAAAAATTTGATTCCCCCAACACCCTGTCCTCACTAGGCTACTACCTTAATGTAAAGAGTCATTTCTTTTTACTTCCTATGATAAACAAACATACTACATCACAGAAAGTGCTGGGAATATTTAAGCTCTCATCTTGTTTTATTTCAGACCTTAGTAAACACATGGCTTAAACTGACAACACATTGATGAGTCAAACATATTCATTCTGTAGCTTTACAAAAGGAATATGCTGCAACTTCTGTAAAAATGAATAAATAAGATATAAAAAAAATAAAATGTGTGCTCCCTGTTCTACAGAGGACATCTTCTGTTAAAATAAGTGCTTCCAATGCACAAAGGGCAATCTCTTAATGTAACGTAAATTTACATACTACTAATATATTTACCACTGTCAGGTTGTCATCGAGGGGTTTGCAGCTTTTCGTTGACGTTCACCTCGCGTAATTACGTCACTTCATAACGTTCCCATGGCAACAGGGGAAAATGGCTGCTCGAGTGAAGTAAACGCAACATTTTTCAACTTTCTGCGAAGATATGTGAGACTTATTATGAAATCATGCAAGCCCCGCATATTTTACGCGGAAATTGGCAATTTATGCGGCGAAAGTGCGGCGTATTTGAAAAAATGCGGCCCCCTTTGGCTGATTGTGCATAAATGAACTCAGGTGTTAGGGACATTGGACCCAGTTCCACCATAAGAACATAAGGTTTGTGCAAACTTTATGTTTGATTATCTATATCTAGATCAGATCCAAATAAGTTTTCTTGATGGGAAATCTTTCCATTAATTCCTGAAGCCTTTGTTTAAATGCTCTGATGTGCATTTTCATCTCATTCCTATTCAAGCCATCTGATTTGAAGGAAGGGAAATTAAAGAGGACCACCTCAAGCCCTGTAAAGTTATAACCAGAGTAGCTCCTGTACTGAAACAGCAGTTTCCCCTTTTATCCACAATAAGCAGTTTGGAGTTAAGATATTGGAAGACTCTAAGGTGGGGGATTAATACTTGTAAAGTTTCACAGCATTGTGGGTTTAGCTCAGTGCGTTTCCACATTTGAAGCCAGTAATTTTGCAGATTTGTTCATGTATTCAGAGCGCAGTAGAGAGAACTCAATCCCAATGATCTCAGTACAAAACCTTCAACATTAATACAGCAGTTCATGTTTCTGAAAACACCCTTTATTTCAGGTTTCTGTTCACAACATCTGAAACTCATTTACTAGAGATTTGCACAAATGACTTCATGAATCAAAAAGGGGAATAAAGTCTAAACACCCTGTGTATATTTAATCTGACATCAATTATATCCTCTGTCTTTAGCCATCACTGACCAGACAATACGGCTTATAAAGATCAAGAGACAAGACTGAAACTCCTTTATAACATCACATTTATTAACCAAAAATGTGTCTTTTAGGATGAGCTGGAGGCGGCCACTGCAGCACGTCTGGGTTTGGGGGTGGTGCCTTCCCGGAAACCATTCCTGGAAAATAAAAATAAAAAGTAGTGAGGTTGACGCAGACAAATACCTTGTAATTTACAGGTAAATCCAAATGAAAGACATAAGTCACTGTATTTGTCATTCCACAAAAATACTTAAATATGCTAAAAGCTACCAGTTTCCTGTGTGCTGCCAGTAGTTGCAGGCTGGTCAGCCAACTATCCAGGTAACTGGATACAATCACTGCAGCTGTTAAGAGCTGATGATTAATTCTTAACTATAAATGTTTATTACTCCCTGTTTAGACAGAGCGATAAACAAGAAGTCTGTGGCACAAATGATGAAACCATGACTTAAAAAAAAAAGGATGCTAGTGTTTGTGGTAAGCAAACAAAAACTGGCATTTCTGTAAAAATGTCCAATTGGCACGCAATCTAAGTAAAAGGACATTTTGACTTGTAAAATCAGGTTCAACGTTAAAGAAGGCTCAGTTATACGAAAGTGTCCCATTTAGCCTCCATACACAATTAATATCTACATTCATTTTGGTAAATTTACAGTAGAACCACCGGCTTAAATATGCTGATAAACCTGATTAATATGATAATTAACATGTTTTTATTCATTTTACTTTACACACACTTTAAAAAAAGAGACCCACAGGCTCTCCACAGAGTCCATTTTAATGTCACTGACTTATAAATGATGCTTACCTCAGAGAAAACATTGATATCACTTTGATTCATTTGTTCAGACATTTATTTTTCACCATCATTGGTAAGCAGCATCAACAAGTGTTATAAACAGGACCACAGGCGGGTTGCAACAGAGGCTCAATACTGAATTTGGCAAAACATAAAATTTCCCTACCAAATCTGTTAGTGGGTAAAAACAGCAAATAACACACTGAATAAATCGAACTGATCACAATAAAGCAGACCAGACTTCCTGCCACTGTTGGCTTGAAAAGCACATTACACACAGATACGGTCTCATTGTTTGAGGCACATTTTGTGGATGGACCACATTACCAAAAAGGTATTTAGTTTACAGCTTTGTTTATCATCTCCATGAAAAAAAAAGCTCCCACTCGACTATCAAAGCAGTTCAGTGATGACGTTTATCTTGTGGTCTTTGTAAATATTTGTTTAAAAACATTTAAACCCACGTTTGTTGTAGATACAACATTACCACGATTTTCATGATGTAACCTAACCAAAAGCAACGCCGATGATCACATGTAATGTAACCTGACATTTCTTTTAAGCATTTTCACATCGCAATCATGTAATCAATATAACCATCTGTATGGGAAAATATACTAATATTAGCTTCCTGTTGGCAGTGAAAGGTAGGCTGCAGGAATCTTGCGTTTATTCTCGCTGGGAATAAATCAACACAACTCCGTGTTTGTAGTTCATAATTATACATCGTTTACTACAACCAGGAATACTCGGGAAGTGTTTATCGTGTTATTTAACAGTTTGAAAGTGGTCTTAATTACACATTTAACAGTCTTAGCATCAAGACATTTCAGTGTTTGCATTACTGATGCCAAGATAATAAAAACCCATTTTAGCTTTTTGGCTCCGACAGCAAACTACTTTTCATTGCTGATAATCAACAAGCAACAAGTAGCACATCTAGAAACACTTGTAGTTCTGCTCAATGTTATCCCAGCAGAATATATATATATAAATAAATCTTACCTGAATCTGCGGTAGACGACCTTCAGGTGTCTCAGACGGCCGGTACCAGTGGTGTTCCTCCTCTTGGCCTTAGCGCTCCAGTTGTCTAAAAAGGAAAACAAGACGAGCTGGTTAATGCTCTGGCAGTACTACAATGTAATGACACAAAGTATTAGGAAATTTAACATATTGTTATACATTTAATTGGTGATTATACATAGCAAAGTGATACAACGGAGTATATTCTACCTGAGTGGAATAAACAAACGACTGTGCCCATATGGACATTATAAGAATCTATTAAACCCCACATCACCCATTCATTAGTTAAATAATCAGTGAAACACATAATGTTGAGGCACCTTGTCGTAACTAAGTCACTGTGTGCCGCTACGCTCCACTAAAGGAAACCAAAACACACTCAAAGACAGCCTATTATTGAGCGTTCACACTCACATGCATCATTTTGAGTACAAGAAGAGAGCTTTTAAACATCAACCCCGTATCAATATGCAACTTACACTTTCTCTTGCGCTTCTCGGGGTAGCCACACTTGCCACAGGAGGACTTCTGCAGGTGGTAGGCCTTGGACCCACAACGACGGCACAGGGTGTGCGTCTTGTTCCGGCGCTTACCGAAAGATGAAGTTCCCTTCGTCTGAAAGGCAAGAGATCAAGAAATAAAAGAGATCAGAGGAACAAAAGTCACCCTTAACAAAAGGCTTCAAAAAGATCTGATAGTCTTGTCTCAGCACAGAAGGATGAATCACAGGAAATCATTTGTTCAGACATTTGTGTTTTAAAGACATCACTGACAAGACTTGTGTGGCTGTAACCAACACTTGGATGGATGGGATGGGTGCAAAGCTGCTCACTACTTAAATATAGATTATAAAGCGAGTAAAAGATTATATATTTGGTCTAAATTCAAGCCCTGAGCGTTAGAAAGGAGTCTAACAGTGTGAGTGTGGAGGAAGCACACTCAGCTCGTTGTGCTCTCCGCTGTATTAAAGCTAGAGAGCCATTAAAGTAGCTACCGCCGCCTTTTATTAGACGAATAACAACACCGATACAAAAAACAGAAGATATTCAGAGTAATCTAAGCACTGTGTGTGTGTGTGTGTGTGTGTGTTTTCTCCTGGGCCCATTTTGTACACTGAACCTCATCGCTACGAGCGGCGACAGAAAACTGTTAACTATTATTTAAAAATGAAGCTTCATCTACAAAAATACTTTACCCAAACGGTAACAGTGTTTATCCGACATCGAACCCCCAACAGCCCGAGTCGGATACACGGCACATTAGACAGATGTTAAAAGATTTCGGTCTGCCAGCGTTGCAGCTTACCATTTTGGTCCGGTGGCTAAGGGAAAAGAGACCGGAAGAGGAGCGTGCGTCCCATCAAATTAGATCCGTGGTGCTTCCTGTGTAACACAGAAATGGGACCCCATAGCATTTTATGGGTAAAATGCATTTTACTGATGATTTTTAATATATATTTTTGTATGTACGTTTTTTTTTTAAATATATATTTAAGATTGTGTCGCTATTGCATTGCCTGTTTTATTTATATAGACTGTAAATCGAGATTTCTACTGTACGCAATTGTTCTGAATAAAGTTTGAAAAATAATTTTGCCAGTGGATGGATTTGAAATGATTATAAGAATAAGTATTCGTAAATATTCAGCGAGAGGAGATGATTCCCCTGCTTATGCTTGTGTTTGATGTATTTAAAGAAAATAAACATTAAGGAGGGTTAATTTCCATATAAAGTGTCTAAATCTATTTTTTTTTATCAGAATCAGCTCGACTGGACAAGAGTGTTTAAGCTACACATACAAGGGATTATTAAATTGCTCTCAATGTACATCACCAGAACAAGTTACTGGAAGATGGAAAAAGACATAAAACTATAAAACTAAGACAACACAGCTGAATAAAGATGGGTAAAATTAAACATAGTTATTATGAATAGGGGGAAATATGTATAAAGATCAACAATGTTCAACAACATACCCTCAAGTCAAGTCTTCTGTAGATTGTAAACAAAACAAATTGTACAAAAAACTGCTTTGTATACATGAAGTGGGTGGTTATATTGGCCTACATATGCATCACGTCTATACACAGGGTGCAGGATTTATAGCTGGATGACATAATGGGAAAGCCCAGTGTGTATTTGAAACTGTAAATATTTAATTTGTAGGTAAGTGGATGTGTTTAGCTTTACAGGGACATTATATTATTGATTTATCAGAGTGATAGCCTCTGAAAATACTCTTCCTGTGTCTGATTGTTTTGGCTTACAGTGCTCTGTAGCGCCTACCAGAGGAGAGAAGTTGGAACAGGTTGGGTCCAGGGTGTGATGGGTCTGCAGTGATGTTTTCCGGCTGTATCTTGACTCCTGAGTCCTGAATGGAAGTCAGTCTGGCACCAGTAATTTTTTCTTTAGTCCTCTTTTAATTATGAACACACAGACGGCCTCATGATGAACCCCAAAACCTCATGAAAGACTTTATACAGCATTTTAACACCCAGGAATTTCCGATCTGTTATGATTTTTGTTGTTTGTAATTAAAACTAATGTACAACCTTTAAAACATTCGTTCCCAACATGTTATATACTGTGATTGCCCCTGTCATTTCTGGGATGCTGTTGCTGCCCCAACTGAATCAGTTCAAGGACGCTGGTCTTGTTCATGAGTGTAAAACAGAGCACAAGTTTAAAAAGGAAGATTGGTGTTGTGTTGGTAAGAGTAAGGGCTCGTTGTCAATAATTTTAGTTGATAATGTGTTTACATGGTGCATATTTGAAATCTGTGTTTAATTAAATTAAAACAAACACAGCAAGGTGGAGGCTCGGTAGTATATCGGTATACTCGCTGGTATTTGGGATTCTGGGCAAGATATAATTGAGCTTTTATCCATATCTCACATCTTGAGTTTGCTCAGTTGTCATCCTGTAACATGGATGAAATTTTGGTCACATTATATGTATAATCCCTAAACTCTTGTAAAGCTGACATGTGTTATCTGATTTGTGAACTGCATACTTGATGGTATTTTAATTGAATACTTACACAGCACATAGAGAGTGGAAGGAAGCGGAGGTCAGTAGGGCCAAACTGCTCATTTAACATCCCAGTGCCTGTCAGATTTATCTGGCCGTGGACGACAAGCTTTGGGTGGTGACATAAAGATATACAAGACAGAAATGAGCTTCCTTTGCAGGATTTGTTGGCTCACTCTGCCAAGGGGAGTGGATGAAGTCTCTTATACAAGCTTACTTTTCTGAGATATTCTGTGCATGTCCAACTTGTAGCAGCTCTAGGCAGACTCAGAATATACTGGAAGGACTAAATATCCAATCTGGCCTGGGAGTGCTGAAGGCCATGGCTCGAGAGAAGGATGTCTGGAATAGTTTGTCACAGCCTGCTGCCTCTATGGTGGTGATGGATGGCTAAAAGTAAAGAAATATATTCATAAGAATTCAAATTTATGTGTTTCCTTATGACTTTTGGATGGTTCAGTGATGCAGATTACTTACAGTAACTTTACTAAAATGATGTGTGTTCATTGTACAATATGTGTCAGTAAAACTAAAGGCTTAACATATCTGTGAACACACTCACTGATCACTGATATCAGATCAGGCTGATATATTCCCACATTTCGAATCTGACACCATTATGACTATATGATGGCTCGTTGTAAAGATATTTCTTCTGTCACATCCACCTACGACTCTGCTGCTTGTGAAGGTGTTAATGCAATGCCGACTGTACCAGATGGACTTTGATGACATGATCAAACAGCTGTCAAAGTGGACACAAATCAATGGCACTAATACTAATCCAGTGACTTCTGTCAGGAGTTCGGCTCTGAGAAGGTACTTCTGTCATGGCATCAGGGTTTAGCTTGTCACATTGTGGCTGTCAAGGTTTGAAATTGTTCCACGACCTGACAGAGACACTAAAGTTAACTTCAAATATTACCGTTAAGATATCATTAAAGTCCCCCTCCTCTCAAAAATATGTTTTTCTGCTTGTTCCTACAGTTGGATGTTTGAGCTTCACTGTGCAGAATGATGTGTGCGCAGAGTTTGACACTAGAAGGATGTTTTCACATCCATCTGCTAAAAGTGGAAAGATTTTAAGGGGCCTACAAGAAGGATATGTGACATTACACAAATTTCCGAAGTCAATCCTGGTCCACTGTACAACTAAGTCTGATGCAGAAACCTGAAGCCACCAGTGCAGTGAAAAGCAGGAAAACTTTAGAAATGAGCAAGATTTGCATATTTATAGATTCTTGAATTTGTAATGAGGTGGAAGGAGAAGATTCCTTATTATGGATTTTAATGTGTTAATTATACATTTTGCAGACACACATTATTGTTCCAAGTCGACTATTTTTACATATGTGTTAAAACATGTCTGAATTGGGTCTTTATTGCAGTGCAAGAATCCTTTGTCCATCATTTGACTCTGAGAATGGGTGAATACTGAGGAATAACCACAGCTAGCAACCTGTGATACTGCGAAATAATGTGCAGTGTTGCAGCAGCATCAGCTCTGAAAAACCTTACAGAGAATATTCTGTATTTTTTTAAGATTATATAATCTGCAGTTAAGTGTCGGTCTCTGGTAAATTCTTGCAGCCTAAGGAGGTCAGGTGAATTGTGCTGTTATAATATATTTTGAGTGCGCAGGTGCATCAGTGTAAAGGAGACCATGACCTTGGGTTTTGGCTGAGTAAGGAGCATCTGAATGAAACGCGGCGCGCCCCCGGCTGCCAGGCTGAGGAAAGGCGCACCCTCCTCCTCTTTTACATTTCAGTCACGCAGCTTTGCTCAGATTTGAGATGAAGCATGGAGGAGGTGTGTGTGTGTTTTTTTCCTGTCGCAGCTCGTATCAGTAATTGAAAAAAGACAACAAAAAAAAGAAAAAACATAATCGCGTTTGGCATCGATGCCGTTGCTTTAGCCCTTCTGATTTAACATTGCGGGATTAATTCTTGGAAAAATAGCCTCCTGAGCGCCTTATTTTGGATAATCTGCATTGCTTGCATCCGATCGAGCGACTGCGCCTCGACACGAGTAGCGCACCACATCCGATAGAAATCAACAATCCGCTGCGGGACGTTTAATGTTTCTGCACCCGTCCGTTTGCGAAATATATAAAGATTTAGGAATAATTTAAGGCAGATCAGGAATACAGGGCCACTAATGCTTTGCAATTGAGGTCACAATTACGATGCTTATCGACAACAGCAACGATGCTGCGGTATGAGAGCTGTAAAATAGCCTAGAAAGGTGACGGACAATGTCCTGTCCAGTGGGTACAAGGCAGAGGCGCTCCTGGTCCTGAATGCAGCGGAGAGAGACACCTAACCGGGTGTCACCGTCAACCCTGGATGCTGCGCCGAAGAATGGCATACTCCGACCCATCGTCGGGCAAAGATATACTCGGCAATAGATCTCTTTGTTTTATATTCATTTGCGCATTTGGACTCGTCACACTATTGCAACAGATTCTCTATGGGAAAAACTACATTAAGAGGTAAGTGTCAGGTTATTTCTGTTTATCCTCATTAACAAAAGGCAATTAGCCCGCAGGAGGCCTTTGCTGTTTGTGAGAGTTGTACACAGTGTAAGGATTAACATTTAGCCTTTAAAAAAAAAGGAAGCATGCTTTTAAAAGCCGTTTTGTGCGAGGCTTTTTGCTCAGTTTTGATCTTAATTAATGACTGAATGATGAAAAAATGATAAATTGTTCAGTGTAAATGGGAGTAGACTGGATGAACTATATGTCGGGACGCATGAGGGGGGAAAACAGGCTTTACTGGCTGAAAAGAACAATAGCAATTAACCATCCATCTTTTTTCTCCAGTGGCAGTTTCCATTGGATTTATTTTTTTGATATTTTCTGAAAACGAAGCATCACATTCATACCATACACAGTGCTCCAGCTGTGTATGGTAATGTTTTCCCTTTCTTTTTCCAAAGATCTTTATTTGATTTTCCGTTTCAGCCTTCTTGACTGGTCGTAGCCTACATCTTACAGAGGCATCAGATTAGCATAATGCAACTGAAAGCTATTGGAGCTGATGATGATTACAAATATCAATATGATAAAGATGATGTGTATTTCTTATTGGTCCCTGTTAAATAAATCATTCTACCAGGCTGCACTCACAGCCACTGCAGAGCCACGTTTTATAATACCTCTGCAACAGCATTATCTCCCTGATATGGATTCTTGAGCTGAACCCTGGTTGGAAGTCTACTTTTGCATATGTATCCACTAAATTGCAGCCCCCCCCTCCTTTGCCTTTACAATCTCAGACAAATTTCAGTGTGAGACGAGCAGATGCTGAGAAGCTGGGATGTTTGATCTTTAGGTGGTTTAAAGAATCTCACAAAGAACACCAATTCTC